TTACTGTACCCGCAAGCTGAAGCTAATAGATACAGATACCGGTACCATGTAGAATCTTACCATCACCATCTCCATCACCATCTCCCACAATCACCCCCTTACATCCTCTAACTCATATCCCATGGCACAGACAAACTCAACACCCCAACCCCCCTTTAAACTTTCTCCTTCCCAAAGCCTTCTTTCTACTCTCAGTCAGCATCACGATAGCGCTGTGCCGTGCTGACTATGAGCATTTCCATCACGCAGCACGTCTCTCTCTACACTTCCACTTCCACTTTCACGCCATGCCCTTGTTGGTGGCTGATCCCATGCCATCCCATGCCATTACGGTACCTGCTTACATGCATACTATACATACCTCCAGCTGTTTTTGTTGGTTTTGGTGTTGGTTTTGGGTTCGGGGTTTCTGGTGTGTTTTATCTCTCTCTCTGTGTGTGTGTTGTTTTTTTGTGAGTTTATGGGTGGTATGGTATGATATGGTACTATACGTGTTATTGGGTTTGCGTTTGGGTTTGCGTCTGCGTCTGGGGAAACGAGAAGTGTGGGATGTGATGTGATAGCTTTGTTCTTGGGTGGATGGTGGTTGATGGGGGGAGGGGGGGTTTGTGTTGTGTTGTGTTTGAGGGTGTGTATTTATTTGGGTTTCTTGGGTTGGGTGAGGTGGTTGTGTGTGTTTGTTGGAATCTAGCGTAACTATGTACAATGTAAAACTATTTAACTATTCGTATTCAACTCAGTTAGTAGTACTAGAGGTGAAGTGAGTGATCGAGTATTCAAGGTGAGTCCGTTGAGTCCGTTGGGTTTCGTTGTTGAGTTGATGAGGAGATGTTACAGTCCTACTCAACTCAACTCAACTCCTCGAATTCATCACGCTGTTGGAATCTATCATATATGGTATTGTACTGCACTGTATGTTAGCACAAGTATTAAGACTGGATGGAAACTGAATTATTAGGCTTCTTCTCGAGCGTTCTCGATTTCTAATGTAGTTTTAGCAATGATTTCCTTTTATCTTTGGGAGTTCAGATGAGAAGGATGGGTGTTTTGAGTGAATATTATATTGAGAGTGCTGAAGGGGGTTGAGGGGGTAAAAACTACCTAATACTGTATGTAAGATTCAGATATTGTATCTCGAGGCTAGGACTTTTACGAGAGAGAGAGAGATTGGAGATATAGATGTAGATGTGCTTATGGAGTTATGGTTTGTAATACGTGTGGAGATCATGAGCCCCCTCGGTATAACTCTCGTATAGGAAATTATCTTGAACAGAGACTTGATGATCGAGATACGTGAGGGGTGTGAGTTGGTATTGTTCACTGCGTAATGCTGGAATGTTTGGTTACTTACTGGGGATGATATAGCATACTGAGATTTGAGAAATGAGATTATGGGGGTTAATAGGGGTGTTATTTTATTCTGAGATTGGGTTTAAAGGTTCTGAATAGGGTGGAGTGGATGTTAGTGACTTCTATTGAGGGAGGTGGAGGCTTTTGTTGGATTGGAGTAGATTACGCGGCTACGTATTTCAGGTAAGATAGTTGGGCGAAACTCTATATACACCCTAAGAACCTATTATACGAGAGCTCTTAAAAACAATTAACTTGATTATACTAAACGACTTGGATTAACAAAGGTACATTAATTTGGCCCCTACTAAATGGCTCGTAATAGCTTTAGTTGTAGGAGGCTTTTAGAACTATGGATTATTCTTAGCGGGAAAAAGATAGTAGAGTAGAGTTGAATGGGTGCACCTACTTAACTCTACTTAAGTGGGTTTAACTTTTAGCTCTACTCCTACCGAGTTGAGTATAACCCGGATAGAGTCAAGTAGTCGAGTAGTTCTTTCGTTTGCTGATTATTCTAACTTAGGTGTGTCCGGACTTTTGCCTGGCTATCTTATAGTATGTGAATGGGATTGTGTTATGAGGAGAAAGCTAAACGACGATCGACCTGGGTTCCTAGCACGTCTTTAAACAAGAATAGAAACTCGGAAAATACTTTGACGAGTGGAGAGACGGTGTCTTCAATATTGTTGTATAGGAACTCTATTAGTAATGAACCTTTCAAACGCGAAAGTGGACGATGTTATAGACTCATGAGAGTTAGCTTCGATCCTCGCACTTCTTGTTACCTAGCTTTTTAAGATTGATAATAAAGAACTAGGTCTTTAGATACTAATCACCGCAAATGGAACTGGATATGCGTATGAAGACTCGCATTTACTTCAGAAACCTGACAAAAAAGAAGAAGAAGAAGATTATGTGCCAGAGATTTACACCACGAAACGAAAATAATGAAAAGTTATAATCTACTAAAAGAGTAACAAGCATATCAGGATCACGGGGTTTGCGCTTTTGACCTCATGGATAGAGGTGAAGATAATTTTATTTCTGGTTCAGTGTTGGAAGAGAGGTTAGATTTGCTGAGACAAATATTGGATATTAAGTTGATTAGCTATCTGAGATGTCTCCTGAATGGTATAGTAAAACTCGCTTATGAGCTAGGATTTGGGAATAAATAGTTCTGGAAAGGGGGATCTGATATATATTACACTTAAAAATATAGGGAAGGAAGACGTGTTGATTCATGACGACAGTTACTTGGCTCGACCATTGGGTTGTTATAGTGATAGACACGACCGTACGGATCTGGATCAGGGACGCAAATATAATGAGTGTGCAAATTGTACCCTGTATGGGGTGTAAAGTACCGCGTGGAGCAGCTGGTTCTAAAATATAGTAGCATTTACCACGTTATCGAGTCCAGACCGCACCGAATAGAGAATTTAATATCGGGGAACATCAGTCCTGTTTATAGCAATACTTAATACTGTACCCTTGAAAAGGATTACCTCTACGCAATCTTAAATAACTTGTAGGGGCAAGTTTTTCAAAGAAGTTATATTCTTGCTTGAACGAGAGATGAGTGCAATAGTCTTGAAAGTAAGCTGTATATTATCGAATTTGAACAATCATAGTTAAGGCCCGAGAAGTCGTTTTCTGAAATTATCTGGGGAGGATTGCATTCAAAATCCTCTCTACCAATTAGCCTGAGAAATATCTCATAGGACAGTTGCTTCGTTATACTGGTGCGAGGATGACTAGTATAATAAACTAGGCTCTCATATTTTTAGTTTAGAAATTAGTATAAAGGGGTTTACTCACTCATTTTTCGAATCGACTCACCAATCTGTGAGAATGACGAGACCATATAGAGTGGCTCTGCATCTGAACATCGCTCACTATCAACTCACTACTGACTTACGTATTTAGCTTATTTGGTAGTCTACAACGTACTAGTATATCCCTAAACCTGTACCAACTAGGAAGAAGGGCGACTCTAATAGAAGTAGACGGTATTTTCGTTCGTAATATAGTACTGGAAATATCAGCTATTTTTTTGTCTGCATCCGTTTTCATTTAGTGATTCACTACAGATTCAAAAATAGTGTTGGGAGTAGTAATGAACATAGTAACTTGGTCTACATCTCCTTGCTTTCTATTTAGCCAGCTAGTTATTGGCCTTGATTCCTTTGTTCCTAACAATCTTCTAAGTATCGCAAGCACTCAAATTAATCTTGACCCTGGTATTATTGTACTAGCCTGCCTATTAACCTGTTTAATCTTCATTTGGAAACAGCTAGTATTCTCCATCCTAACTGGTATCTCTAACCCATTTTAAAGAAGATTCAGGGCAGTGATAGCACAGCAGTGGTGAATTTAAGATGGTGTTATAAAAAACGGTCTTAGAAATCTTTGTATCAGTGGAATTTTTCAAGGAGATAATGTGTTAGGACTTAGCGAGTTTTTGAGCGCCAGGTCCACGTACTGAATGCTATTAGGATGGAAAGGCCTACCTTCATGACATAATAGACTTGATTGGTTGCATGCAGCCACAGCTTCAATTCACTGAACAACCAATGTAGATACATAGTCAAAGTAGTGGATGTTCACTCTCAATAATGCTTCATATTTGTAAAGGCAATAATATCATGTTGTAACAATGTAAGCGGTGTAAGAGGTGTACTACAAGTGGTCAAAAAATAATGAGTGAGAGGCTATGCTAGTTATACTCAAGTAATTTGGAGGTAAAACAAATTAACTTTAACATATAAACAATCTAGTCACCCGGAACGCTAATTTGTTACTTCAAGGGGTTTGAATCATGCAGTCGTTTGATTTTAGTGAGGGGTACGTAGCATCACACGCATAACAGAACTCCTTCAGGCGAGTCGCCCCACGATGGTTTTACATGTCATCTCCCCAAAGGTAAAGAGTATACCTAACACATAGAAACTTCCTTGTAGACCTTGAACAACTTCTGGATTGAATCGTAAAAGCACGGAAATACAGTTATAGTTACAACTAGACGTAGTGCCCATCGAAGAGACTGGATCATTTAAGATATAATACCCTGAACACAGGGAGCTTCAAGAGAACAGAGATGACACCGAAAATGCATGATGACGACATTAAAATTCATTTGAGGACTTGGGTACTTTGCTTTCTTTTGTATTACAAGTGCTCTATCGTGTCGACCTAAGCGAAGGCGGCGAAGAAACTTATGGTTAAGGGGTTCTCAAAGCTCTTTCTTCATCAATGGTATGTCATCTCAGATCTTGGGGAGGTTGCTTGTTTTACGAGAAAGGGGCGGTTGGTGGGCGATCTAATAGTATACGGGATTGACGGATACCTTGAAGTGGTTCTGATAAACTTTTGGATGCCAGAACTTCCCGAGTTGGCTCTGTTGGATGATTATCAATCAGATGATGGAGCCGGTTTGAAGGAACGTGCGGCGGAGTCTAGTGCAAAACCGTACTCTCTCCTGCAGTAGGGATGTATCACAATCTCGGATGGCACCAACTGCATATTGTTTTGGTCCAATCAGAAGGGTGTATCTCAGTGCTTACTCCCTCAGCCAAAGAGATCTTCTCATCTCGTTTGCTGTAGAAATACAAAACTCTTTCTGTTGACATTTTGTACTGTATCGAACAACAGTCGACTTTGAGGTGTCTCACTGATGCTATTGACTCTTTCTCTACGATGGATATACTTACAAGCGGCAATGGGACGGTTGTCCCAAAAAGCGGCTTGTCTTTCAAAGAGAGTTCCTATGTCAATTGGGTCACACAAAATCTCAGCAATTGGGGAATCGCAGCTACGATCTTAGTCCTACTCATATCCTATGATCAAAGTATATATTCCAGTTTTCTCTCACTGGATTAGTTGACAGACTGACCTGGACAATAGCTATGTATTTGATAAGGAAGAAATCTATCCCAGGGCCGATTTTCAAGATTCCATTCATGGGATCATTCATACAAGCACTCTACCCAAAGTTCGAGCCTACCAAGAACAATGGGCCAGTGGAGATATCAGCTGTGTGTCTGTTTTCCACAAGTATGTTCCTCATTTGCTTTCCTGTTGGACTGCTAAGCTGACAATATTCTCCTATATTAGATTTGTGGTTCTTGCCTCCGAACGAGACATTGCACGAAAGGTTTTCAACTCTACTGCTTTTGTGAAGCCTTGCCTCATCCCTGTTGCAGAGTCTTTATTGGGCCCATCTGTATGGGTGTTTTTGGATGGGAAGCGCCACGTTGATTTCCGCCGAGGACTCAACGTTCTTTTTACTCGAAAAGCGCTGCAATGCTATTTGCCTATACAGGAGAAGGTCTGGTCCCAATACTTCGAAAAGTTTGTTCCTATTCCATTCATGGGGCAATTCCGAGAGATAAATTGCGCGTTATCATGCCGTACCTTTGTGGGGGACTATATTTCCCAGGCCGCTGTCAAGAGAATTGCGGACAACTATTACTGCATCACTGCTGCTCTAGAACTCGTTAACATACCACTTTCACTTTACTTTCCTTACTCTAAGGTCTGGCTTGGGAAGCGAGCTGCAGATCGTGTTCTTGCCGAATTCAAAAAATGCGCGGCAACAAGCAGACTCAGTATGGCCGCTGGCCGGGAGCCAACCTGTACTATGGACCAGTGGATACTGAGCATGATAGAATCAAAGGCTTACCAAGACAAGGTAGCTGCTGGTATTGCAACTGCCGAGGAGTTGGAGAAGTCCAAACCTACTGTTCTGCTGCGAGACTTCACCGACTTCGAAATTGCACAGACAATGTTTACATTCTTATTTGCTTCACAAGACGCATCGAGTAGCGCTACAACTTGGTTGTTCCAAATCATGGCACAACGTCCTGATATACTTTACAAAGTTCGGGAGGAAAATTTGGCAGCGAGAGAAAAAAGCATGAGATCCGGCCAATCACTTGGACTTGAGATGTTGGAATCGTTGACATACACAAATGCAGTCGTCAAAGAGACCCTTCGATATCGCCCGCCTGTCATTTTTGTCCCGTACACAACTAAAAAGCCCTTCAAAATTACACCGACGTACACGGTGCCTAAAGGAGCAATGATTGTTCCTTCATGCTATCCAGCTTTACACGACCCTGAAGTATATCCTCAGCCTGAAGTTTTCGACCCGAAAAGATGGATATCTGGTAATGCTGCCGAGCAGACTAAAAACTGGCTGGTTTTTGCTACTGGGCCACATAATTGCATCGCGCAACAATATGTTCAACTTACCATGACAGCTATGATTGGAAAGGCATCACTAGAGATGGATTGGGTTCATCATCCAACAGCTAGATCCGATGAGATAAAAGTCTTTGCCACTTTGTTCCCCATGGTAAGATTACTCCAATTTTATCACATGCATCTCATATCTCTAACTTTGACAGGATGACTGCCCTATGATATTTACCAAGAGGGAACGGCAGTAGTTTTCTGAGCAAAATGAGACCACAGCTATTTCCACGTTGTCTCGGTCGCGTATTTCGAGATTTTCTGGAGGTGTCAATGAGTGTGGGGGTAGCGGGGAGCGGATTCATCGGGGATGTTAATATATTATTCTTCTCAACGCCATCTATGATGACGAACCAACCTTTGAATAGCCAAAGTCACAGGAGTAGATGTATTTTATATGCCTGCAACCATTTTAAGTTGTCAAGCTGCAATAAAAATGGAGACTTAGTTTAGAGGAAGTAGAGTCGGTAGAATATTATTGGACAGGGGACCACTAAAAGGTTTTGTTTAAACCTTCTACGAACATATACTATCGTATAGCTTGAGTCCTTATTTCAAACAGAAACGTCTTCCCACGTCCCCTAGAAGCATTTTGTGTTGGGTTTTGATATCTTTCGTGTTACAGTACTATAGCACTCTAAAGGCGGCCCGTCCATTGTGACAAGGACCTCTTGATAAGATTACACCTAGGGCGGAATGGACATGACGCGATTGCTTGTGTTTCTGTATGGTTTGTACACTTACTAAACTGCGATTGATCCACCCAGGGAAACCTCGCAAGCAAATATGTCTCATATCTTCTCCACTTTGTGAGCACGATGATTTAAGAAGCGATAACCGAAATAAATATCGCTGAGAGGTAACTTCTGATCATATCATCGGCTAATTTATATTCAATTGACCTACAACACGATCAACGAAATACGCAAGCAGGCAACTCTGATCCGTATTGAAATAAGATCCTAATTGCAATATGCCACTACCAACAGGTAGAACTGTGTAAGAGAGGCGAGCATTGCTCTGTACACGCTATCAAAAGTCATTATGTTAAAACTCTGGCACAAGTAACTCAATTGTCCTATTTTACCTAGCACAATAAGATTTGAAAAGCAATAATTGTTCTAAACTCTTCGTATAATTAATTTAGTTGTGTGAGGTCTTTAGGATAATATTTTATAACTCAGGTGTGTACAGAGTAATGCCCGCCTCTCTTACGGACCCAACCTAGTCTACAGTCTAGTCTACACAACCATGTAAACAACTGGTCTCCTCGAATACCAAACTCCCACCTACACATCCAGTCAACCTCAATATTCGGTCCAGGAACTCTTTTATAGAGCTAGGGCGAGCTTACCAATGCGAACATTAAGGCATCTATAATTGAAGAAGGTAGAGTTAGCCTGAGAATCCCTACAAACTTTGTGGTTATTCAACGAAATATGCTCCTTGCAATCGTCCCACTTCAATTCTCATAACGTGTAATCCTTGGATCGAAGTCTGGTATGGATGAGGATAATCATAAGAACTTGGACAGATGCATTGAGAATAGACTGGAAGAAGGATTGAGGTGGAGTGTTGAGCTGATCTGGACGAGGCATTTGGTCTTTAGGTGTGGAGCTGGGAATTGCAGTGAAGGTGGAGACTAAGGATATTTGAAAGGTGTTTCTACCTTGGAATGAATTTGATTTGATTTGATCGTGCCTGGGGACCGGACTTATTATACGGAAACGTACGTGTCATGTTTGGGGATAACCAGAAAATGTAGGTGTTCATTCAATTTAATCAAATTCCAACTGCAGAGCTGAGGGAAATTTGCTGAGCTTTGCTTACGGTGATCAATTCGGTGAATGTGATATTCGATATGTTGGTGTTTCCTAAGGGGTGGGTCCGCTGCAATTGGACCGGCATCACATCGTAAAATCTTACATGATGTTAGATAGATGTTGGATAATTGTTGGCGGCACAGTCGCCCAGGATTTTAACCTCGCTTCCTTCTGCTTTCAACTACGTGCCGCAACCATGGCTTTTCCAATATGGACTACCTTCTTTCTACTACCAACTACATATCTTGTGTGGGTTATCCATCGTCTGACCAACAATTACACTGTTGCACGGCGTGTTGGCATCCCAGTGGTTGTAATCCCCGTAAATCCTGAAAGTCCATTATGGATGCTCTTGAGCGATTACATAGGCCCCTCGATTGATCGTATACTGAGCTGGCTTCCCTTTGGTTCTGGCTATTTCACTCGCTATGCTCACCGCGGATGGGACGTTCACGACAGAGCGAAATCTTTCCTGGAACTTGGCGATGCATTTATTTTGGTGACCACAGGGAAAAACTGGTTGTATATTTGCAATGCCGAAACCCTTACAGAAATTCTTCAGCGGAGAAAGGAATTTGAGAGACCGCTGGAGATCATGGGTACGCTTAATCAGCCCTCGTGATATGTATCTGGCTGACTCTGAGTGAAGCTGTCCTAGACGTTTTTGGTCCCAATCTCTCTACGGTATGTATATCAACTAGTTCTTCGGTCGCCAGATAGCTTATAATCAAATTATTAGGTCGAGGGAAAAGACTGGCAAAGACATCGAAAAGCTACGGGTCCCCTTTGGCGAGCCGAATATGGGCATCGTCTGGACGGAATGTATTCGCCAGGCGCAGGAAATGCTGGAGTTCTGGAATAATTGTCCAGATATTCGACAAACTGGTAAAGATGTGCGAAGATTCTCCCTCCATGTCTTATCGTCAACTGGCTGTGGGAAATCGTATTCTTTTGACCGCTCTACCAACCTCGAATTACCCAAGGGAGGCTCATTGAATTACAAGGACTCCCTATCACTCATACTGGAAAACGCCATTCTAGTTATGCTTCTGGGTCCGAAATTTCTTACAGGCAACATGCAGCGGTTTCTGCCAAAAGCACTGGCGTCTGGTTGGTCAGGCGACGAGTACATTCAAGACTCACATTGCAGAGACCATCAAGGAAGAAATAGCACTGATGGCAAAAGGAAAAGAAAATTTGGGCAATTTTATCAGTGCCATGGTACGAGCGTCTGAAGAGGCAACCAGAGTAGTCGACGATAGTACTGGAGGTCACTTCCACGGACTTCGAGAGGACGAGGTCTTTGGCAATATCTTCGTCTTCAACTTCGCAGGTCATGATTCGATCGCCATTACTTTGACATATGTTATCACCCATCTTGCTGCTCATCCTGAGATACAAGACTGGCTTGCGGCTGAGATTCAGTACATACGTAAGGACCAGGGAGCCACGAGCTACCGAGATGCCTTCCCAAGGCTCAAGCGATGTACTGCGGTTGTTGTAAGTTATTTGTTTTTTTTAAGAATCTGTTACCGAACACGGAGTTTTGCCCTGCTTAGACTTATAATTCATTGTAGTATGAAACCCTTCGTACCTCGACACCTTTCCCTGCTATGGTCAAGAATACTGGTACCCAGCCACGCTCCCTAAAAGTTGGTGACAATACACTTCAACTTCCTTCTGGCATGAATATCATCACCACGTTTCCATCTATGCACTCGCACCCACGCTATTGGGGAGATGATGCGGATATTTGGCGTCCAGAACGCTGGATCGAGACCACAGATACAGCTTCGGCAGGAGACTCTATTTTCGCTGACGAGTTTCTATATACCCCACACAAAGGTGCCTTCATGCCCTGGTCTGAAGGCGATCGCGCATGTCCAGGAAAGAAATTCGCTCAAGTGGAACTCACAGGAGCAGTAAGTGTATTGTTTGAGAATTATAGGGTTGAGCCTATACCGGAGGCCGGAGAATCAATGGAAAACGCCAGAGAAAGAACTAAGCAAATGATTGAGGATAGTGGGATGGTACTTCTGATTGAGATGTTACATCCTGAGAAGGTAGGTTTGCGTTGGGTGAAGCGGGAGGCGAAGATTTGAGGGGCAGAAATTGCAGATGGGATTCAGATTTATGGTTCTACAAGTCAAGGAATCCTGTACGGTATTCCTTCAAATATCATCTAGGTACGAAGCGATTACAAGCGGGGTCCACTTTGGTTCCTGGTTGTATCAAAGGTTTTATGCTCCTAGCAATGCTGGCTAATAAATTGATTACCCGAACTAAAACTCTCGGTTTTACCTGGTTTTCAAAACTTGCCTTGCCATTCATGGCTTATATCTGTGTGCATGATATCAAATATAGGCCTAAAGTTTGGATACAGAAAAGTGGTGTTCCATCTCTCAGATGCCAATTTATAGCTAACATGAACATAGTCACTAGTGATACTCATCAGCATTTCTATCGATTTCAAAGACAATTACAACCCACCAATGATTTGCAGTAATATCATGTCTATCCTCCATCGAAGTCGAGCTTGTCCAGGACTGACAGTATCACAACGCTCCAAAATGCGCCGTCCCCAGATGATAGATTGACACCTAGAGAGGCTCGATTGTTCATAACCCATTCAGCGATTTCTCTGCCAGAATTTGTAGCTTGCTGTACAAAACATACCCCTTCCATTGAAACTCAGAAAGGAAGATGAAGGAAAGGGAAGGGGGAAAATACATCACCATCATCTTAACACTTCATATCAGCTGGCTTGCCGCAACATTGATCACCCCAACTCCCACATGCACACTTCCTGGTACAGTAGACGGTTTTCACTCTACCAGGAAACTAGGCAACGATCTTCTTTGCTCCATTAACAGCAACTTGTTTACAAGCTCCAACAGCTGGGAAAGAAGGCTTAGCGTAGCCATCCCAACTATTGGCAGAAGACAGACAGCTTTTGAACTGAGCTGGACTTTGGCATTGGTATGAGATGGGATTGTTGGAGTAGCCACTCTGCCAGAGACAGTTGCTCGAGGCTTTGGTACAACCTTTAATATCTGCTGCGTCGTTTGGTCAGGATGCTGTCGTTGCGTAGACACCTGAATGAGTTGACGTTAAAAAAGGCGTTCCGTGTTTTTAATGCTAGAAACAATATACCTGGGGAACCTTCACTTCCAAATTTCCAACGTAGGGCTCATTAGCACAGCTTGAACACCACTAAAAGCAACGAAAGGTAAAGTGAGATTGTTTCAAGGGGGCATGTTAGAAAACAAATTTAAGGAAACGCGGAGTACTAAATGGATGACAAATTCAAGGAAAACTCGAGCTCTCCATATACCCCTCGATCGGACTCATTCTACTTCCGCCTCACAACTCCCAAAATGAAAAGTTTATATTTCCCGCTCAGTCTCGCAGCCCGGAGACATTAAAATGTCCACAAGTGACCCAAAGTGCCATGCGGCGCGAAAACAAGATCTTGCCCCCAAATTTCTACTGGATGAAATATGTTGGTGGAGATGACGAAAGATGCCAAAGAAGCTTGCCTGGCAAGGGGGGTTCAGCTTCATGGATATATCGTGTAAAACCCAGTATCAGATTTCAGATTTCAGGCTAGTAAATTAGTATTCGAGTAGAGGGCAACTTTCATGTACTTTGAACTTGAAAACTTAGACAATAGAGAATGATGTTATTATTAAATGTAATCAAGACAAGGGTTGACGAGCCCCATGCTTCCTGTTCAGCTAAGCGAATGAGTATACCTGCTCTCTCGGTGGACAAGAAAAGTAGCTGAGATTATTTGTTCTCTATTAGCGTAAGTTACTTCTAAGTACTAAAATGTTTAAAATATCTAGAACAATTGCCGTTATATTCCCATCGTTTAGGTCAGTCGTTTTGATTAGTCTAAATAAATAATATAACTTAATAGTTTTTAGTTTTAAGTTAGCTAAGATAAAAGAAGTCTCTACCACTTTTCTTGTCCACTAGGAGCCGTCAATAGGGAATGTTTAGCCCCCGAAAGCTATGGAGAAAAGCCGAAAATAATGTACACAGCAGCTTTCTAAAAGCACCAAGCCCTTTCTACGTGATTATAGAGAAATCCCACACAGCAAAAGGGAGATAGAGAAATTTGTGACCGTTGGAATTGGATTGTTCTATACGCTGGCATTAAGAGCCGATAATTTGATCCAATCGTATTCAGAGAACTGTTAAAGGCCAATGACTGGAAATCTCGAGGAACTTCGTGGTGTCCAGATGAAGTGCCTCGGTACTTCGAGAAAGTCGTGTTTCACTTCCCATTTCATTCACTACAACCAGATAAAGATTCAAAGCCACGGTCTTCTAGAAAAGTTGTCTCTTTCTGTATTGATTCATGTATATATGAAGATAATCAACACTTCCAACTCTCCTCTTGCTTCTCATCAACCATGATTCCCGTCACAGCGACACACTTCTTATATAAACAAAAATGCGGACATGTATTCCTCAAATTTTTTAACCTCTTCAAACATCGAAAGTCCAAATTCAAGATGTTAGAAAGCAACCAGAAAAAGCCCGTGTGAGTCTCTCTCTATTCCTTGCGGCACGTGAACTCGAGCTTACATCACACAGTAGAATTAAGAAAGTTATCGGTGACTTCCCAACTGCTCAAAGACACAACAACCATCCCAAAGGGAGTAAATCGTGGTTGGAAGAACGACGTAGAAAACTTGTTGAACATCTCAAAGAGCTATGTAAGTATTCTCACTACTCACATCCTGTGTTACTGATTCTGACTACAAAATACAGATAAGATTCATGAAAAGCACGAAAAGGAATGCGAGAATGGTACCGGTGGTGGAGTGGAACGCTACTTCAAGGAACATTGCCTTATAGATGAGAAATTGAGGGAGTTTCCAAAGTACAGTATTGAAAAAGAAGGGGGAAGGAAGAAGATGCAGACCGTTAGAGGAGAATTATGGAGGGAGTTGCAGGACATTGAAAGACGATTGAAAGGCAAGGGAGAGCTGAACAAGTAGCGGGGACTTTGAGGTGGTTAAGAGATATGTTGTTTTTGGAGATGCAGTGACTGGGGATAGACAACCTTTAGAGTAGCAGTAGCCGCGCATAATGACCAGGTGACTTGAAGTATTGAGATAAAAGGACTCACTTGGTGATTTTCGCTTTTACAATCACACTATTTGTGGGAATCAGCTATGGTATTCAAAGACGCTACGTGTTTCATGTTGCGAGGTCCTGGTTAATGATACAAAACCTCCAAATGAGTCCTATCGTCAGAGGTATTCCCAACTCCATACAGAGCTATTTGATCACAATTTCAGTGAACATAGTAAGCCCCATATACCACGTATGCCTCCAGGCGCTCATCTCGGCGAGCTGCGGTATTCACTTGCGCTGGACAACCTCACAAGACGAGACACTTCCATGATTGGCCCTCTAGGCGAACGCGCTATTCACAGCCAGGGCTGTCTCTACAACCCACAACACGTCCCAAAAGGGAAGCCACAAAAAAGGGCCAAAAGACAAAATGGCAAAACTCTAGCAGGCGCGATGGGACTGGTGCTTCTGGGGCTAGAGGAATCCACCCTCGTAGGCAGTGGATTTTTTCCGAATCAAGGAAACAGCTCTGTGTGCTTGTCGCTTTTGGGAATCACATTACACACTCGACTGACCTGACCAGATGTATAGTACCAGGTTTTGTGATGGCCAGACATCTTATTTGACAATTTAGTTTCAATTTTGAAAGTTGTGCGCCGTTAAGCCGAAGTTACTGCAGTAGATGATTGAGTGAATAAATGTGTTTGCCCGTTTGTTGGCACTCACGTGTATCAAGTTCCTATACTATTGCAAGCAGCATGCTATTCGTGATTCACCTTAGCATCGTAACTGATCCATTGACTCTGTTCGCGACTCAAGCCCCGCTCAATTCAAGTATAAGTAACCAGCAACTTTCATCCTATTGCATCATCCGAAATCATCTTTGCAGACATCGTTGAGCATGAGCAATCTCAACCACAACGTCTTCAAACTACTTTCAGAGATAAACCCACTTCAACCATTCGATCCTTACAACCAATACCAAAACACTAATACCACGTCTACTCCTACACCAAATATGTCGGAGACCTCTGAGCCAAACACCATGGAAGCATCCGAATCTAAGACCCTGGATAATTTCGAGACAACCACCCCGAAGACCAAGGTTCCTGCTACGATCACTACTCAAGTGCCAGCAGATATGACCAAGAACGAAGACAACGATGCCACTTCCCAAGGAGCCGCAGAGGAGTTCGACACTAAGGGCCCCCTTTCTCATATCATGGATATTGTTGCACAACTCAACCTCCTCAAGTCAACCGATGAGACTGCTGAGAGCTCCGACGCAAATTCGACTGTACCACCATTGACCTCTGATTCTGATTGGGAGATGGTTGCCAACACTACAGAACAGGCTGAAGAGGAAGAGAATGAGTCGGAAAATACTGATGCAGAGTGGGAGATGCTTGAGTATCGTGACGCAAAGCCATGTACTGTTCCTGCCGACTATCTTAAATCCAAGAAGATGAAGAAGATGGCGCTTCTCAAGAAGATCGGTAAGCAGAAGCCTCCCCAGATGGGTTTAGAAAGTTTGTTGACATTATACCATAGAGAATAAGCTTGACGTTGCCACTAAGCACAACAAGGAGGAGCATATCCAAAAGGCCATGGAGTACATCAAGGAGACCAAGGGCGATATCAAGTATATTGATCGCTGCTTGGACGAAATTGAGGGTTAGGTGTCGCACTGGTGCACGTTTGGGAATAGAGACTTGGGACTGAGATAGCTGGGGTGCAGGATTCTGACCGCTCAGGAGTGTGGATATCTCGACTGCTGATCTTGGCTATGGCGAGTATGGATAATTTCTGTTGGCTTCTCGACTGTGAATCTCGGTTATGGATACTTTGACTGTATATTTCGATGTGGATATTCAGACTACGAATATCTCGACCAAGAATGCACAGGTCATGGGATACACGCATCTTTTATGCGATGGGATATTTCTTACTCAGTACGTGATAACAAGGTGTTTCTCTGCGTCTGAACCATTTCTCAACTGTTGTGATTTCGTGAGACTAGCTGGTGAGATTATACCTATTGTTTGGTGATTGTAGCTCTGCAATTCTTCTGATGGCCACAACATTCTTAGGTCGTGCCTTTCAACTTGGTTTCCTCTTCAACTCCACATCCGAAACGACTTTCCATGGGGGCAAACAAGGTAAAATAGCAGGCAAGATTTCGTGTGCAGTGTAAAAGTTGAGTGAAAGAGGGAATCCACTAGAAAGCACCAAGGCCGAAAGGACAATAGATGCAATAGATACTATAGCTTTCTTACAATCATGTACGGGTTACATAATCGGGACCATAATGCAACGAAGAGCCGTTTAATACGGAGTATCGCCATTCGGTGGCCCAGCACCCGACAGTATGGTAACGCCCCGCCTTAACCATCGCCCCAAAAAATTAACTCAACGAATCACCATTGCATCCGCCGGTTAAAGCTCCAAGATGCGAATCCCGAGATCATATCTCTGTTGGCAAGTGGGTTCATGTTGCATTTCATATTTCCGACCGGGTTTATAGAGGCACAGCGTCATAGCGTTCCGGGGCGGTGTTTTGTGAGCAAAATGTGAAGCTATTCAGGCCTCATTGCCAGAAGGAAAGCACTTCGAAAATAGGTTCAATTAAAGAATGCAAAAAATTCTTAGCATGTCCTTAATAGGCAGTTGACTCGAGTGGCTTGTGGTGGTCAGCATTAAAACCAAGCCATCGCGATCGTCATTGTCCTCATAGGGGAGGGGGTCAGAGCTCACCTAGCTTCATATCAATCTTCATTGCCTACACCTACCTTAGGTAGGTATCGATTGTAGGCTTCTCCTGCACCCTCCTTCACAAATTGAGCTGTCACTTATTTTCTTCCCACCTGCGTGTCAACACCACAATTGAGGTGTCACCGAAAGTATTCATATCTTCTGTGAACGTATGAACACCCCAAGCAGAGAACCGAAAAGCGGTGTAAACTTTTGAAGCTGTCGGGGGCTCCAACCACAACCCAACGCCATTGATCTCAGATTTATACTCAAGAACGGTATGTTCCGTGTATTTGAATAGGCTTAATTGTTGTATAAACAGGTCCATGTGCTAATTACATGGCTTCTGACAGGTGAAACCGTCGCAATGGATAACATCACGTCCCGAATATATATCCCCCCAAGCTGGAACATTGCACAACCTGCGGAGGACACAAGAGTGACGGACAATGCAACGGAAATATCGAGAGCTTTCGACAACAATCATATTGTACTTCCGGATTCCGTGGAGGGCTCTCAAGGGGGAACAAGCGTATGCTCAGATGATGTGCAAATAGCAGCCCAGGGTTCTCACACCGGCCCCTCTGTACCGACGGCGGGAGAACCACTCTGCAGGTCCCACCTCCAACGACTTCCCAACGAGCTTTTGTCGAGTATATTTAGCTACCTGGATTGCCCCAAGCCATCGGATGCAATGCTACTTGGCGAACCAACTTTTGGTTTGACGAGTGCAAAGTATACGCCTTTAAAAACGATTTCTAGAGTCTCGAGGCGATTGAGGGTCCTTGTCATACCAATTCTCTTCAGAAATGCTCGATTTGATGACTCGAAATCCAAGTCTGGAGAACGGGGGCTGAACCAGCAAATTGAGCCATTCTACAGCTTTGTCAAGAAACATCATTTGAGCAACGTCATTACCAGTTTTACACTGCTGATCCATGAGAAGAGGGTTTTCTATATTTCACAAAAAGAAGATCGGTTAAATTCCTTCTCTTTCTTCTGGCGTTCTCTATTTCAACTCATAGATCCCATAAACTTGCTTCTGGTAGCCCATCCTGCTGCACTTGGTCCTCTCACGGCTTGCCAGGTGATACTGGAGGACGCTTGGTTACTAGACTGTCCTTGCCACTACCTTCGTCTACAGAGACCATCTACCCCGCCCTCCTTCGATGGATCATACCACAACTGGACCTCGGCCGATGATATTACAACCGATCAAGGGCTCACAGCTACGATAACCGAAAACGCCTCCGAGCATAATATTCCGGGAATTGCAAACAAAGCCGCCGTGAGATCTCAATTCTCAGATATGACCATTGCGCAGACTTCGTCTGGGAGCACGATACAGGAGCCCCCCATTCCTTTCTCCGATTTGGAGCCATGGGAGCTTCCTCGTGCTAAAAGCTCTACCATTTTTGATATTCGGCCATGGACAAAACTATTACTTAATGAAGGGTCTTTTGTTCGTGCATATGCTACTTATGAATTCTGGACCCGAAAGCTGCCTTCAGTAAGTACAATTGTTGTCAAAAAACGTTTGCCAATTTCAGTGTCTAACAATTTCAAGATTCTTTCAGATCTCTTAGGCGCAGAAGAGGAAACACACATGCCATTCATCAGTCCAACAATACGGGACATGTCATATATTGGAATATTTCCAACGGAAAGGCATTTCAGATTTCTTGCAGAGAACCTGCCGAGACTTAACAAACTATACGTCCAACTCGTACCGCGCAACAACATTCTGGAGATCCCCAGCAAGATGGTTCAAGTTGAATTGGAAGACCTGTGGGGCGAGAGAAATAGCTGTTACGCATCGTTGGTCAGGGAGCTTTTCAATTCCCCTCCGTCAAAGAACTACAAACATCTTCAGGTGTTCGAATCCGGAGATGCAGCTGATAGAGATGCGTGGCTCATGGCTGGTAGGTGACTTTGGGATGAATCTTTTAAATATTCGGACTGAGAGGAAAACGAGACTAATTTAATTCGGCAGTGGAATATGTCAGGCGGTCAAACAACGGCTGGAAAATTGCTAGTGACGGCGTTTTCATGAGAGATCCATCGGAAGTCGACAAGGAAAATGAGAATACGAATGATGGGGAGAACACGACCTTGTCAGTCTGATGTGAGTATCTCATAGAATCATGATGCGCTGACAAGCGACCAGCCAAGGGGCTCTTATTCGATGGGCCTGGAATGGGACGACTCGACTTCCTGTTTCTGCTTTCCCGATGTACGAACAACCTATGGGACCCATGGATTGATATCACTTTGATGGCAATTGATATGGGTTGATTGGTACAATCGTTCCAAGTGAGGGTTACAGTACTGGATTTGTAGGAAATATTGTATCGTGATATAACTTGTAATTTTTATTGGATATTGTAGGGCTTGATGTACTTTATATAGTAAAAATTTCTTTAGTTTCTTGGAATATAGCGAAAAGATTCCCCCCATTTTGTCTTACTCTAATACGGTTTTCTTCTAATGATTCTTCGAAGACATTGAACTTTGAGGGTGTAGGTCAATGCCCTTGCTGTGGCCAGTTTAAGGGACACCACACACTTCTCGTTCTTCTATTTCCTGGCGTCATTTGTAGTTTACTTTCTTTAGAGCAAGTATACCAACCGAGTCGAGCCAATCATTCAGTATTTACTTCTCTATTCATCGTCGAATCGGCTCAAATCGTTGACCACATCGGAGCAAGGTCGCCGAGCCGAGACCGGGATATTGCCGGAGTGACGATGTTGATGGAGCCTCTCTTCCAGGTTCGCAATGCAACCTGGTGAATTGCTTCTCAACTCCACACAAGTACTGCAGATGTAGGAGAGAAACCAAACACACATCACAACCTCCGTGAAAGACCTACTCCAATACCGACGCAACCATGTCAAGAAAGCCGGCCAAGGGCGAGTATATTGAGACCGTAAGCTCCCTGACCCCCCACACCCATGGTTCTCCAACTGACCTCTCGTCTTCGATAGGATACTGGCAACAAGGTCTCTAGGCGCTCCCAGATCATCGGCACGACGAATATCATTCTAGGTGGCAAAACGGTCATACAAGCTGAAGTCATCATTCGTGGGGATTTACTGCGTACTTCTTCCAGTGTCCCCGATGGAGGAAAGCAGTCGAATCCTGTGGCGGTTGCTATTGGGCGGTATTGCATTTTTAGCAGAGGGTGCGAGCTGAGACCGCCGGGGAAGATGTATAAAGGGTGGGTTCCCGTCATTCCTTTCCTGTTCTCTCGAACCTAGTGATGGAATCAAAGCTCGTAGTCGAAATGCAACCACAAACTAACGACCTAACCCAGAACATTCTCCCACTACCCATTGAAAATTGCAGACCACGTATTCATAGGCCCTGGCTCCATTATTGAAGCTGCCCTCGTCGGCTCCCACGTTTCGATCGGTGCCAACTGCGTCATTGGGAAGTTTACAATCATTAAGGACTATGTCAGGATTTTGGGGGGGACTGTTGTGCCGCCGAATATTGTGATTCCGAGTTTCAGTGTTGTGGCTGGGAGACCTGGGAGGGTTGTGGGAGAGATTGCGGAGGGAGAGGTTGAAGGGTTTGATTTGAGGGAGCTGTATAGGAGTGTGGGGAATAATACTTGAGAGCGAAGAGAAGCTTTGGATTTTGCGATGAGAGCGATACGAAAGCGCCTGGGGGGCAACGGATATTCCAATATCCAGTCGATGACCTACACAGCTCCTAGGGATGGTATATTTTGGTTGATGGGAGAAATGTCGAATTATGGAGGAAGAGCAACGATACCCAATCTTTTTACGGAGTTTGCGGAAATGCTGACAGAGTCAGACACCCATTAGTCCCGGGCAAGATCCGTGAAGGAACTTTTCCATTGGCGAGTTGATTTAGGAAGGAAATTGATATCCAACGGCACTTCGCCACTTCAATTCGTGGAATTCGTGGTGCCATACGGTAGACACGAGACTTTGCGTGCAGAGCTTTCACGCACAAGAATCGACTTGACAGCTTCCAAATTGAAGCTATCTTCTCATGGATATTGAATGAAAGGCCAAGCTCTCAACAACTTCATGTGAGTTTGCTTGTTAAGCATAGGTAATTTGTTAATAATGCTCGGTCTATCCAAAGCAGAGATAGTACCCACTTCTGACATCTCACTCACCTCCCAATGTAACCCTCTCGAATTCAGTCAGCTTTTCTATGGTTCAACCTTCTTATTTCGTATCGTTTTCCGTATATCCGTATCCCTTGACTTCAGTTGATCGCCTGCTCGTCTTGACGCCATCAATCGTAGGTTGAATCGCGGGGCGAAAGTTTGCCAGTGGATGTTAGTAGAGTGAACATACTTGTCTGCATCCCATTCGCACGAGTACTCATAAACCACAAGGACTTGAATCTCTCTATTCCAAAATGCTGCATAGCTATACCCCGCTATATTATATACCCAAAAAGTCCAGCATCCAAGTGACAAATACCCCCCTCCCAGCTCCCAAGTACCCAACCATCCACTCTAACCTCCCCAAAAACTGATATCAATTCGACTCATCAAATACGTCCACATCCACGGGGAAACTGTAAACCTCATCATGTGCACCCCTCACCAACACATCCAACATCCAACATCCCTCCTCATCATCTCCCGACAACCTCGATACTCGGTGAGCATGAGACGAGCCGGTGTAACGGTCGCGATGTGCAACAAATATCCAGATGCCAGATGGCGTTTTTTTGGTTTTTGCCCTTTCCCTTTGTTTGTCTGGTTGGGTGGATGGGTTGGGGTTGTCACGATGCACTGCTACTGTAGCTTGCTAGCTCTTGATTGACCGAGGCTTATGAGGTGAGGGTGGTGTGTGTGCGGTGTGGTGCGCGCTATGCGCGGAGGGCCTGTGATTTGTTGGGGGGTTTGGGGTGTGGCGTAAGGCTGAGTTGCTGGATGCTGGATGCTTGGGTTTTGGAGGGTTATGTGGTTGGTTGGACGTTATGGTACGTAGACTTTTGATGGGTGGGTTAGGTAGGTGAAAGTAGATACTTGTTAGTGAGACTTTGTGGTTGAATGAGAAGAATAGGTAGGGTACCTACGTAAGGAGGATGGATTGTTCTATTTTCCTTGAATTAAGTCACCAGACTCACCACTATTGTAGCAATATTCTCAGACTCACAAGTTTACGAAAGCTCCTGTAAATGGAATGTTGAATCTCTGGAAGCTTTACAGTACAGTGCCAGTTTTGTAGAGATCTTGTTGTTCAACTGCGAGTTTTGCTTGTTCTTCCTACCGCCTAGACTAGGCAGGTAGATGGCTGGCAAATTCCCGCGGCTTTGTATCTTGACAGAGCTAAGGAAATGGGATAGTGATATATAAATCAAGTGAAGGTAAGAAGCAAATCATTCATACTTGGCATATTGTTTTACTTTGTTGGAAAGATGTTGGTGGAGTTTAGTGTTTTCTGAGTGTGAATAGCTCGCGGGTTTTTGTTGACATACGGGTACAGCGTTCAAACAAATTTCTTAACTCCTCGAGTAGTACTCGAGATACTCAAGGTGATTATAGTAGGAGTAACGTAGGAGTAGATGATCCATTTGAGTTGAGTTGAGTTGAATTGAGTTATAGATTTAACTATTTAATTACGGAGTGAGCAGTTTATTATAAATAGTAACTGAAATACAACATAATTGTCCTCAAGTTCGACGTGTCGTAGGGGCATTTCCTAGTCCTCATCTACAAAAAGCCCCTGGCCTTTCAAGCCTGTTGTTATCTAAAGGTTCTCTTTTAAGAGCCTACTCCTGTTCCGTATGACAATATTGGCCCCTTTTCCTAGATAACCGCTTGCTATAGGCACTTCTGAGTGGTCGGCCGGCTTACTCTATACTATTTAACTAGTACTCTACTCAGCTTAATTACTTGGCGTATCGAGTTGAGTAGGGCTAAACCCTACTCGAGTGGAAATTGAGTAGGTGCCACTACTTAACTCAACTCAACTCAACTTATTTCGAACGCTGCTCACCACGTATGCCCGAGAAAATCATTGAGTGGATAGAATGACAGATACACATGCAATTCTATTCCACGCCGATTGTCGATACTGACGGCCGTTGAAATGAGTGCAATTAAAAAGAAAATAGCGGTTCCTTCCTGAAGTTAAACAAATCCTTCCTGCAGCTAGTAGTTTCAGCACTCGAGAAATAATGCCGATAATAATACTTTAGAGGGAAGGGGAGTTATGGCACAAGAGGTTACCAACAGGGGCGGTCAGAGAGAGGTTTGGCTTTGTCGCTTTATAATAGTGAATGATTATTAGCTAGCTCCGAGCGTAGCTGCTCTTTCGGGATTAGCGTGCTCCACTAGCGTACTATGGCATCTATAAGTACGTAGGCGCTTAGCTAGCTATACTTGCTCCTACCATACAACCTTGGACTTATTTATTATACAGATAATATAGGTCTTTGCATCACCCATTTATCGACGATAAGTCAAACCAACGAGTTTGCTACTGCTCATTTAGAACCCTGATTCAGATTCATCTTCATCGCTCGCTTATTTTATTTGTTTCTTTCAACGAGTGAAGCTTGAGATTATTTTTACCAAATTGTTCTTCCTAAAGATTGAAAGTAGTAACAATGGATATGTAAAAATTCCTAATAATAGTCCAAGAAAAATGGTTGGCGAGTTCGTCTTAAAAGATTACACAGATCCAAGAATACGACTTTCAAGTTCTGTCTGAGCCGAATCATGGGAAAGAAAAACTACTACTACCTAGTATTCCTTCAATATAAGTTTGAACGTAGTGAAGAATAATGGACGAGCTTTAAATCACCTCGGGAGGACAAGACTATGACTGAGGGTCGCACCTTCCATCTTTGCATCGTGTTGATACCACGAAGAGCTTGAACAATTCGACCCCAGGACTCGACTCGACCGAGAGAAAGTTGGATATCCACGCATTTCTCCCGCCTATGAACCTCGTACCTTTCCCGCTCTCGCCATAACCTACTTTGGTATCATCGCACTATCATGGCGAGAACAGGATCCAGAACTGTGCCGAAACGGGAGAGTAGGAGTGTACTCTTGCCGGAGTGTTACCCCCCCGGCTTTAATTTATGTACACTTTCACATCGTCGAGATCAAGTCGCGGGGGGTCAGGCCCATTGTGAATGCGTTTATTTCAACCGCCGCTGTACCAATGGACAAGTTTGTGGAGTAATGAGTAATTGACAAAGCACGGGTCTCTAATAAATGTTTAATTTTTAATCTCACCCTCACATTCACGACCTTTCGTGTGGCATTTCATGAATAGCGGAGCTATCAAGATCACTCCGTACAATCTGATTACTCCTTCCATCGCTCGCTTCATGAATTGCCTCGCTATCAAGTTCCAATTCGCAAAGTCCTGCCCCTAATGACATTTCATGAACTGCTTGATTATCAAGTTCATTCTCTGACAAGCCTTGAAAGCCTACTCCGTGCTGTATCTCAAAAGTCTGGTCGCCATCGATTTCGCTTTGTGTTACCATTTGTGGATCTTTCTCCGGTGATATCTCATAGACCTCTTCACCATCAATTTCATTCCGTCTTGTACTTTGTAGTCCCTTTCCATGTGGTAGTTCATGAACCCCTTCGCTGTCAAGTTCGTTTCGTGATACACTTTGTAGTTCATTATCTGCTGGCATCTCGTGAACCTCCTCACTATCAATCTCGTTATTTATCACCATCTGCAATTCCTTCCCCTTGATCTCGGCTCGAAACTCGGTACCCCCTATTTCCATGATTTCGGTTCCAGTAGTATCCAACTCAGGTTTTCGAAAGTCGTCGAATTCGCTGCTGTTGGTGGTTCGTGTTGTCATCGGGTCTTTTTTCAATGTCTGTGGCTGCTTGGACTTCTTTCGTTTTCGGATGTAAACATAAATTATTATGAGCAGAATTGATAATGTGATCAGAGTCACAATGGCAGGCAATAGCAGACTAAGTCTGGAGCTTTTGGAAGCTGGAATTGGGATAGGCTGCGTGGAATTTGCATTTGATCGCAGTAGTGGTGGTATGATAGATCTAATGTCTGGTTCTAGATTGGAAGGCCACGTACATGGCGATATTGTGAATGTTGAGCGCTGATAGTCCGCTATCAAATAACTGTAGTTTGGTCTATTAGTAGGGCGGAAAGAGATCGTCAGGGAAACGTACGCTTCTTGCAGGAATGTACGACCGAGGGTATATTGTGTATCATTCATTGCTCTCTTGAGTGGAAACTTGGGAGAGCCGAACGTAGTATCTGCTTGCACTGTAGCATTGAAAGCTGAATACGGAATAATTATGTTCAGAGTGTTCTGCTGGGGGCCAACAAGCGTAAAAGTGATATTTGAATTGGAATTTGGTAACGGAGTTTGTGCTGTTGCGTTGACGGTGTATGTATTGCTGTCAGGCGCCCATACCAAACCGAATGCCTCTTCAAATCGTTCGCAAATCTCCCGTGGTAGATAAAGGTGGGGAACCGTGGAGTCTATATTTAACGAGATAGGCTGTGAAAGTAAAGAAGTACTGCTTGTGGTAGTAGTTCTCGTAATAGATACCAGATCTACTATGAACCGTCGAGAGACATCATCATACATTTTGAGTGTCAGATTCGAGGAAGTAAACCTGCTGTTGTCATATCCACCCAGAGTCAAACTTCCTTGTGGCTTATGCAGCCCTTTGATTGTTAGTTCTTGATGTATTCTGGTAAGTATTTGACTTACTGTAGTTTGCACCAGCAGTGTATCCCCATGAAAGACTTGGTATCAGAGTCCTATTATCCTATGTTAGCAATGAATCCTCTCAACCAACACAATAAGATGAAAACTTACCTTGAAGCTAAGTTGCCGAGGAAACTTGGTTTCGGGTCATTCATACTGGTAAAGTTACTTGGCTCTGGATCAAGACCAAATAAGCCAAACCAGTAATCAGGAGATGCAATTGCTACAACGGATTGCTGTTCTAAGGATACAACATCACCCCCAGTGTACCCAAGGCTAACTGTATCAAACCCAAACTGACCATTCCCTTAATTGTTTCAAGATCAGTAATGGGCGTCAATGAATTGCAAGCGAGATAGTGTAAAAATGCTTTTGTTTAGGGGAAACATGCAGACTCATACCTTCAAGCCCCAATTTTTCCTCCAAGAACAAACTAAAGTTATTGTTTGCCGTCCAACTTGTCGAATTTTCCAGGTGGAACAAAAGCCCCCGATTGTCGTCGCAATTACTGCCATATTTCTGCGGGCAACCTTGTGGACCAACGACCCAGGTTTCGCTGCTTGATGTACTGATTATGACACGAGAAGGCTGAGGGGGTGAGCCAATATTAAGAATAAATGTACTCCAAATTCCACCGTTATCACTGTCCCTATGTTCCAGGTTAGCTGACAATTCTACAACAGATTTTCAAGGCCAATTTCGTTTACCAAAACTGCGAAGTTGGAACACTTATTGAAGACGGCAATGCGGAACTCATGAGGTGTTTCTTTCATGAGGATGGTACTCTCATGAAAGGAGGAAATCTTCGCGGGCTGTCAAAGATTTGTGAGACGGTGCATCCATTCTACTCGAGTAAATTCAAAGGGATGTTGAACCCCTCGGCTCTCGTAATTTCTGAGTTTAATGCAGCCCTATCAACAAGGTCACTTCGAGAGATCTTGGGGGCTAGATCAACTGGCCCCCACTTTTACATAAACTCGAGTGGGCCTTCTTACCATGGTGACCGAATGAGAAAGGTATGTAATTTGAAATGCGACGCAGACATGCCACTCAGATAGCCTTGCGAAATTCAATCTGGACTTTGGCCTCTCTATTGGCTTCAACCGAATATCTAGTCATATCATCAGATCAATACCGGTTTCAAGATATGGGTTCGAGTCGTGAATATCGCCGCATTAGTAGTGCCATTTTCTTTCAAGTTACATCTGAAGTTCTGGGGGCAAGAAAAGTGATAGACCACCGTTCTTATTGTGTAACTTATTTGATTGATATTACTCAGCGCAATCAAAGCAATTATTCCAAGCTCCTAGAAGAAGAAGGTAATTTGTCCAATCAACTTAAGCTGACTCCCGGTGGACAAGAAAAGTGGCAGATATTCATTTTTTGACTTTTGGCGTGAGTTAATTCTAGATTATAAAATGTCTAGAATATCTATAACAATTGCCTTCATTTAATCATGTTGATTAGTCTAAATAAACAATATGATAGAATTGTTTTTAGTTAAGTCAAGCTAAGATAAAAGAAGTCTCTGCCACTGTTCTTGTCCACGGAGAAATATATCAAACAGGATAAAATGGGGGCATAATAATCGGGGACCCGGAGCCGCTGTTCCAAACAAGGTCGACGACCCCCCTTTTCATAAGTCTCGGTTCTCATTGGCTATGAGTCTTTATGCATGCATCGACAGCATGGTGAAAACGTGGAGTAAGGTTCTTACCAGGAGATTGTATTTGGCAAGGTAGGATAATATCTTCCGTCATTCTTACTCCAAATAAGTCGATCTCTTCCCGGAATTTCAGATGCACGCCTGTGTGCGTGTTGACTTCTATTTGATCATCTTCTCCCTGCCAACCGTTAACCCAGAACTTGAAGGTCATGATACATGAAATATCTGCGAATTGATATATATTTTGAGCAAAATTCAAACTTCGATCCCTCCAAACTTGATATCTAGTCTGCAATACCTTTGCAGAACCTTTAAGAGGAAAGATGGGTTACCTATTGGTCCATGTGTTCCTTAGCCTTATCTGGGGAAAGTTCTTCAAAATTCACGTAGAAGCAGTGGTCTTATCGAAGAGTATGTAAAAGTCCACCCGTCTTCAGACAAAGCTAACAGCTATTAGCATTTTGGAACTCCACGAACTTCAACGCTAGTCCTCAAAATTCTTGCTCATCACAGTCTCACTGCACGGGTGTACCATCGAAGAGTGTTCAAATTTCTCATACGACCCCCGCCCCCAGAACGACGCCCTCAGTTGTCCACTTGGAAGATCTAACGGCTTTTATTTTTGAATCTCCCTGCCAAATTGATCAAGAAAAGATATTGACGCTCACATGGCCGGATCGCTACGTTACAGTCGCTACAGTCACTACCTTAGTTTCGATTTTTAAAAATACGACTGTTGTGGCCTCATCTACTTATGCGGATGTTACAGCTAGCATGGAGTTGTATTCGATTCTCGCCGCGCTACCTGCTAGGAATTCTAGAACAAGTGTGCTGAATGGCACGGTTTTCACAGATCCTTACGGAGTTGTTTACCAAGTAATTCCAAAACCTGTTCATTTACTGCAGTTGGTGTGCTAATTTTCGCAGTCGCCCACAGCTATCACGGTATATGACAAGCTCAAATACCTTCCTGCTCCAACACTCACATCCGGCTGGTTGAAGTCAGAATGGGAACAGCTGGGCGAGGTCTTTTCTGTTCTACCGTCCGGATACTACTTCTCAGGTGGTGGAAGAGATGTCAGATCATGGCTGGTTGAAAACCCTCCTGCACCCCTACCAACATTCTGGTCCGCGCTTCCAGATTGTGATCAATTTCTTGAAAACAGTGGCCCACAAGCATATCAGCACATTGTAGAATCTATCACGGCATATGAGACAACGACTACAACGTTGAGTAGTGCACTCCCTACTCAAGCTCAAGTGATACCTGCTGCGACTCCACCTTTACCGACCCCCAGGCCAACTCCACTTATCAACACTCCGAATCAACGAGCTTCTCCTGGAAGTGTCAATATCGCAGCCGAAGAGCCATCGGGGCCGGAAGGAAGCCCGGGGGCGGAAATTGAAACTCAAGAACCCAAGTTCGAACCTATCTCGCCAATCCCCAAATCAACACTGGATGATTTGGCGATTTCTTCAGATCCGGTAGCAGGCTCGCTAATCGTTGGAGGACAACCACTGCCTCCTGGAGATTCCATCAACCAGTCTGGTACCATTGTGTCTCTCGACACGACGGGGACCACGCTTTTCGTAGATGGTTCGCCACACCTGCATCCTTCTATCCAAACTCCACCCCCACTGGGACCCGAGAGATCTTATTTCACCATCGGAACCTCCACGTATTCGCAGAATTCGGCATCTGAATATGAAGTAGGTGGTCAGAAATTGAGACCAGGGGACTCGGTGATTATCTCTGGGACAACTGTTTCGCTGGACTCGGTCGGTTCATCGGTTTTTATCAACAACACTCCCATCCCAGTACTAAAGACGCCGCCTACCACTGCAAGACTACAGCTCGTCTTTGGAGGTTCTACTTATTTTCAGAATGGAGCATCGAATTTCGAGCTTGCGTCCCAAATCTTGACACCCGGTGGTGTGGTTACAGTTTCCGGAACCACCTTGTCTTTGGATCCAAAGGCTACTGAAGCATTCATCAACAATATCCCGTTCCCATTATATCCGACGCCAAATATTGCAAAACCTCAGCTAGTCATTGGAGATTCTACATACTTGCAGGATGCATCCTCAAATTTCGTAATAGCATCTCAAACCTTACCACCCGGTGGCATCATCACAGCATCTGGAACCACAATTTCTCTCAATCCAAAAGCCTCAGAGGTATTCATCAACAACACATCAGTCACAATAAGAAAACCATCCGCTGGGCCCAGACCCCAGCTGATCCTTGGAGCTTCAACCTATCTCCAAAATCCAAACTCAGCCTTCGAGGTCGCTTCGCAGACTTTGAAGCCAGGAGGCGTCATCATTGTCGCAGGAACCACGCTTTCCCTTGACCCAAAAGCTTCTGAGGTTGTGATCAATAATATACCGTCTACACTCCAAGCTCCGAGAATCACAGCGCAGCCCTTGCCACCATTGAGCACAGGGATTTCTGCAACTGCTGCGAAGGCGACGTCTAAGGTATCTACTGGAGCGAATGTAAGGTATGTATGGAGAACAGGAATCATTCTTTCGGCGGGATTGATATTTTGGAATGTCTTTTGAAAGATGGAATTTTATGATTTTCTTGGCGAAAGGGACAGGGAGACTCGCTTAAATAAATGGAGGCTCCGGAACGCTTGCGGTAGACGGCGATACAGCCGCGTATAGCTCTCTAATCATGACTTACTTCAAAACATAAAAGAACTTAATCGTTTCAAGTGTTTTAAGAGAATGTTCAAAGCAGTGGTCCAAAAGTCTTTACATTAATCACCTAAGATGAGCAAAAGAAAAACGGAACAGAGAGGGCTTGGTTTACTTCTGCCTTCTCTGTATACATGAAAGACAATACTAATGAACGAGCCCACGAGTCATTGGAAGCACGGAATGCTACCATTTAGGCCATACTACAAATAATGTGGAGGGAAAGCATTCATGTCAAATTTATTGAGTAAACTTTCTTCACAACCATGTCGCTTATTCGGTGTGATACTCAACATACAAGAAACCTCCACAATTCAGCTCAAGTATTGAGCATACAATATCTATCTTAGCCACGAGTTTGTTTGGCGATAGCACTACTTCACATCTACAATAACTCCCACCGTACTGTACGAACCGAGGAAGATGGAGGGAAGTCCTCAATACTCGAGTCACTGTCACATTTAATCCTTCTTTGCGTTTTGCTATGAATGACATTTTTTTATTTCGGTATTACCACCTTAATTTGCTAAAACCACAACCTTCGTATTCCGGGTATCTGTAAATTATTATATTATTAAAAGTATATAACTTAACTTATACGTTTCTCATTTTTGCCCACTGGGAGTCCGTATGACACTTAGGGGACAGATTACTCGCGCGCCCGACGAAGAACCTTGGATACGCAGATTGGCAGTCTCACACTTTATACTTGTATCATTTGATTCAAGGAAAAGGTTTGGCCTGCTCAGGGAAATAGGAGAGACTTTCTGCATTGACTTTTAAATGGTCGCCAGGTAGTGAGACACAAATTGCAAGCCCCCGATATAATCAAGAGTCAAGATCTTTGCTTGAGGACTAACATCTCATGTATCACCGGTACTTCCCCCTTCCAAGTAACGTCAGAAATGCGTATACTTTGAGCTGATGCAAGCTACAAGCACGACATGCACCACCGCGCAACAAAATATTATACCACCCTTGATAGATACACGCGTGTAGTTAACCACATATTCATACTCGTTATACAACCACTGCAAACGCTACGCCCCATTTCCCCATCCCCCATCCACCATCCACCATCCACCACCAACAATTCACCCCAAAAAGCGGGTCCCTTCCCCACCATCCTACCCCCTAACCCNCCACTGCAAACGCTACGCCCCATTTCCCCATCCCCCATCCACCATCCACCATCCACCACCAACAATTCACCCCAAAAAGCGGGTCCCTTCCCCACCATCCTACCCCCTAACCCCCTAATCCCCTAATCCCCTCACCTGCCCCTACACCCACAACCATCAATTTAAAACCACAAATAAGCACCCCCACACTCATCCGATGGGCTCCGGCGAGGGCGCCACCAGTTGGGCCACCTGGTAAAGTGGAACGCTCCCTGACCTTCTTGGAAAGGAAAAGCACGGCTGGAAATTGGTATCGACAAGGAAATATAGAGACTTAGGGCGGGCGGGCCCGAACTCTTTTGCTGTTTTTTTGAATTGTTTTTCTTTGTTTTTGGGGGGGGGAAGAGGGGAATTTTTGGTTTTTTGGGGAAGGAAGGGAGTTGTGGTTGTTTGTATTTTTGGATTACGCGAGGGGGAGAGACGGGGGTGCTTGGCGTTGTGGATGAGGCGCGCGGTTGGGAGACTGGCATGAGCGAGTGTGGCTGGAACACTTATACACGCAAATGTACAAATCTGGTGTCGGTTTGGAGAGTAAAGTTTGAACCGAGGATTATTTGATACATAAACACACCTTCTGTTGAGATAAGAGTCGTTATCGCATAGGAGAAGAAGAATTTTCACAATCATCACTCTATTAGAAGTAACCATGGAACTCTCTCTTTTATATGGATTACCCGGATGGGATGAAGGGACTCTTGCAACACGCGGTACGCAGTACGCTATATAACATAAACAACCAGTGACAGATTACAACCTGGAGATGCGACGAAAACATATCCTACGAAAGAATACAAAGGTCGAATCCACGACTTGGTAATCTATCGAACAAGAGCATAGAAAACCCCATATCAGCACTACATCAAGCCTCAAAAATCCAACTCCTATAAATTTCAAGTCCAAACAATTCTCGTGACGAATACTCACAACCTCCCTTCCCCTCCGTGTACCTCAGCACAGCAGCAAACCCTTCCCATCACCGACATCATAATCTCCTGATGCCAGAAACACCACTACAACCCACAAACCACAAAGCACTCAAATAAGCCATCTTACGAAATCATCCACACTCTCCCATCTCGGCGTTCTAAAAATACTCCCTTGCTGACTGACATCCTGACGAGGTTCTTGGCGTGAAGGCTGACATGACAGCCTGACATGTGCATCCTTAATCCCACCGTAGGGGGGAGTTGAACAAGTTTCTTGGGGATGTATTGATAACTGGGTTTTTGGGTGGTTATGGGAGCTCGGGAGATGGGAGGGGGATGGGGATGTGGAGGTGGAGGTGGAGGTGGAGGTGGGGAGGAGGAGAGAATAAACTTGGTTGGTTTGTGGGAGAGGGATGAGATTAGGAAGGAAATCAGAAATTTGGTGAGATGGTATTTGGATGATCGAGTCTGTGACAAGTAGACACAGTGAGATAAGGCGTTAAGAGACATTTTGTAACTCACAAACGTAAGGAGGGAATAAGCAAAGAGCATACAGTAAGCCTCGACGCCCATATCATACCATAAAAAAAGCAACTGACCAAAACTCCAATATATTTCATACCTCATTCGCCATATAGTACCATCACACAATGCGTTGGCCACCCATTCACAAAATTCCTCTCTCCTCGAAATCCATACCATCAGATGATAGAAAACCAAATACAGGAGATGCAGCGCAATATATACCTCAACAATCCCGTCCTACAAGTAACTCGTCATCGAAAGATTCTGGCCACTTGACTCGAGTCACATTCGTTTCGTTTCGACTTGTCTTGTTTCTATGTGAGACTCTGTACGCGGATACAGTAGTACTACTGTACTGTACTGTACACCACACCCAACACAGCGGATGCGGTACCTGCCGCGTTGGTGGGATGTGAGATGCAGCTAGAAAACGACGTCGCGGCTGGAGTCCGAGAGGGGAAGGGTTAGAATAACAACGTGGATAGCGGGATGGCATCGCTGATAGAGATACGTTGGGATTGAAGAGGAAGGGGAGGAAATTGTAGATTTTGCCAAGGGAATAGAAGTTGAATGAATGAATGATTCTTAAAGTTTGATGGAGTGGAAAATCAATGTGGCGTGCTCCAAAGGATTTCTTCTCATGAAGCCCTGTACTCGTAGTAAGTCGGAAACGAAGCCCTCTGAATGGTCACTTCGGGCAATTAAACCGGATCCCCCTCCGTTCGTCATCTCCTACTTTTCTTCTTTCAACACCGTCAAATACCCAGTACGAGTACGTCCAGCTGCACAGCGCAATTCGCCCCAACCCAGCCATTTTCGTAAAAAAAAAAAAACTCATCCTACAGCGTGATCTGGTCAGATCTCCCGTCACCCGACGATATTCATCGCACCCAAGCACACATGAAATGAATGCTAAGCTTCCTTCAAGTGCCTTACACCTTTAAGCCTCCCAAGTGTACTCCTCAATCTCGTAGTCTCTACGTACGAAATAATGCCGAAGTTGATGTCAAAATCCTATTACTGTCATAGATTCAAGAAGTGAATCTATTCCCATCATCTCCACATCTCCACCAAAACAGGGCAGTGTGCCAAGGAAACCCACCCGCATCAGTCAAAATGAGAGACCCCTGAACCGTTCATCCCAAATTAATCCCAACAACATACAGCAAAAACCAGCTCATCCAATAACAAACGCACCACAGGAAACATAACCACCAATCGTCTTCCCTCCACGAACGCCATCCTGCTGAACATCGGCGCATGGCTTACCCCTGAGTGCGCTGAGCGCTGTGCTTGGCAGGTACCCGTCCCTGGATTTTTGACTGGGAGGCGAGTGAGAAAGGGGGGTATGTACGTGATGGGGTGTGTTTATTTCATGGCGAGCAGGCTGTAGCCAGATCACGTTCGATGGGTTGCAAACCAGTAGGAAGAGGGGATCTAGGCTGATGGGAAGAGATATTTCATCTATTTGTTGTTTGTACACCTTGCCTTGTGCAAGCCAACTGCAGGCAGGGACAGGGGAGGAGTTGCGCAACGCAGGTACCAAAAATGAGAAATTGTACAGAGTAAGCAAGTCTTGACGGGCTAATTTGTCTGGACTGACAGACAGTAGTGAATCTGACAGAGCGGCCAGGCCTCGACAAAATGGATGCAAGTTGAGTGGAGGAACAGTCCAGCGGCCATGCACTTGTACATGGTAAGCGAAAGTGATATAGGATCGCCCACCCTGCTCTTCCTTCCGCTCCTCCTCCAGCTTCTTTTCCCTCCACACACACGATCTTTCAGGAAGTACTTATCTTCGTTGTCGCTCCTTTTCCACTGACTGTGTCAGTTCAACCACTTCGCTTCTTGTGCCCGGTATCAATCACCCACACTCTTTTCGTCCCAAAACAAACAAACAATCCCCACAGTCCTTCTGAACTTGCAACTGTCGCAACCACAACTCATCAGTCGTCCACTCTTTTCGCAGTCAAGACTAACACACACTCATTCATTGATTGAATTCCATTCACACTTGCTAGCAAATTAGACTACCTATATCCAAAAAAAAATCAAAAAAATCACAGTATATCTCAGTACCCAGCAGATAGATCAAAACACAACAGTCGCACGACAAGTGTATACAAGCCATGCGTTCCTCAACTGTTTCAATCATCGCTTTCTTGGCGACGTCCTTGCTGGTAAAGGATGTCGTCGCCGCCCCAGGGGCAGTTGATATTCGCAAGAGAGAAAACTACATTATCCAAGTCCAGGAGGAAGTTGTTGGTAAGAGGATCTCAGTGTCACAACCATATTCGTACCTCTACTGACAGATTGCAGTCTCACGAGGTCCAGATGGTAAATATACCACTGGGAAGCCAGTCGCAGTAGCGACTGTTACCGTGCCAGCTTCCGCTCCAACTCCTGTTGTTGAGGACCCAAAGGACACTCCCAAGGTAGTCGACCCTCCCAAGGATACTCCAAGCTCAAAGCCTATCAAGGTCGTCGAGCCTACTACCAAGCCAGAGACAAAGGACCCGAAGCCGACTACGCAGGCAACAGCTCCACCTCCACCTAAGCCAACATTGGAAGCACCCAAGTCCACAACCGAAGCCCCAAAGCCCACATCGGAGGCACCCAAACCAACGATCGCCGCTCCAAAGCCAACAACATTAGTGGCCTCTGCTGCTCCTCCCTCCGAGCCATCTGAAGAACCAGTTGCCGCAGCCGCCAAAGTGCAAGCCGCATCCGGTGGCGCCAAGCGTGGTGTCGCATACAACGATGGTAAACTCGTCAAGGTCATCAGCGGCTCATCCTGGGCCTACAACTGGGCTGCAACCTCAGGAGGTGGATTGCCAAGCGGAGTCGAGTACGTTCCTATGCTCTGGAGTGACAAGGATGAGAAGACCAACGGATGGAACGACAACGTGCAAAAGGCCATTAGCGCTGGATCCAAGCATGTCTTGGGATTTAACGAGCCGGATTTGGGAGCACAAGCTCACATGTCTGTCGATGCTTCTGTAACCGCATGGAAGAAGTGGCTGCAACCTCTTGCTGGAAAGGTCAAGTTGGGTTCTCCAGCTGTGACGAACGGTAACTCTCAGCAAGAGCCATACATGGGTATTCCATACCTCAAGCAGTTCCTCAGCCGATGCAGTGGTTGCACGATCGACTTTGTCGTGATTCACTGGTATAACAACAACCCTCTCGACTCGGCCGTTCAATACTTCAAGGACCACATCAAGGAGGCCCACGATGTAACCGGGAAGCCAGTCTGGATCACCGAGTTCGAGTACACCGGCGGTGACGAAGCTGCGTTCCTCAAGAAGATTATCCCATGGTTGGAGGCGCAAGCTTATGTTGAGCGATACTCGTACTTTATGGCTGCGGAGGGCAAGCTCGTTTCTGGTGGTGGTCTTTCGAATGTCGGGAAGGCTTACGTCGGGTAGAATGAGGGATTGAAGGATTGAAGGATAGATTTTTACGGTTTCCATGTACATACTTTGATGGCCACTACCACTACTTGGCGAAGGGTGTGTAGGATTATCTAGGGTGGGCATTCTTTGGTGTTGAGGTGTACGTAGCATGCTGGGAGGAAAAGGAAATTCTCTGTTGGCAAATAGGGGTTTCTACACATATTTAGATTCAATGCAATTGCGATGGACATACTTTGAGTTTTTGGTTGACTTGATTTTGTTCTTTTCGTTTGCATTGAAGTATTTGTTTTCTAGAGGGCCCGATCACGCACTAGCTGGTTCTTTCTAGGCAGACGATGCCGTTTCTTTACTTATAAATTAGCATAGAGCTTGAACCACGGCCGCGGTACCGAGTAGCGTCCAGACAGAGGACCCGGTTGACCAGAGGGGATGTTAGAGATAGTCTCGTCGTAGTGTAGTGTCATAAACGACGTTGGATTTAGACGCCTCTACATTAGACCTAGATAGGACTAGAAAGGAGTATGAACCCCCTCACTCCTCTCCACAAAAACAACGTTGGAATAGCTAAATACCCATCCGCCACTTGGATGATGAGCTCAAAGGGTGTATCTCGAAATTCGTATCGTCTCATTTACTCTGGGCCAAGAACTAAACGCAAAAGGTCTGCATTGGCATACATTCACATCCTGAGTAGGGATATGATTATAAGAGACTTAGCCGAGTCTTCGTTATCTGACTGATTCGCATAATGTGCTGCATGACTGACATGAATTTTCGACAGCCCTAAGCTAAGGGCAATGCTCGGGGATGTTTGATCGTTTGCTCAACAGGCAATGTACCGAAGGTTGAATACATGTCGTTGGGAGTCGACATAGTAATTTCCAATACATGCAGCAAACAGACGAGATATGTCGAGATGACGAGGTCCAGAAGATGGTGAATAAAAGAAGGGCAGATTCATCGATAAGCGACGTCAACGTCAATCGCAAAACCGTTTGCGCTTGGGGCCTGAGGCATAAACGCCCGCTAACGAGGCTACGCTATAAATTATCGGGAGCACAAGAGAGGGCACTGGCACTTCAAAATAATATCGCACACACACAACCCTGAGGCGCATTTTAAAGCCAGATCTTCTGCCAAATATCCATACCAGACGACTCCCTCACACCGAGACACCACATACAAAGTCGCAAGATCCCTTGATGCTTGTGCGAGGCCCCCCACAACACCACGCGACCCGCGTCAACTGCTGATTGTCCGTTTCTCTGACTCTCACCTCCGTCCCCCAACCGCAATACCACGCCACCCAACATGCCGGTACGTACTTGTTGTAGAACGGCATCAGAATCGCATACTCATGAACTCTAGATCGGTGACCTTCTGGCCTCTATTACCGGGGAGCCGAGCCCCACGCAGGCAAATGCTTCTCGTCCTTTGTCTCAACCCACCAAACGCAAGCCTTCCGATACCGAAACCTACACTCGTCCAGCAGATAAGCTGCAACGTACCAACTCCTCCAACGCAAATCCTGTGTCGAGACCTAGTATCAGATCCGAGAGAGATATCAGTAGACCTCGTGCAGTAGATACCTCGATGTCGCGGATGAAATTAGATTCTGACAAACGAACCCCCGTTTCTTCAATCTCTAGCCCAATCGCATCCTCAGCACCAAGAAATGGCCAACCTTCAACTCCTTCGGCGCCTGATCCGCGAAGACCGCCGCCGAAGAAGGGTTCATACGCAGAGATTATGGCACGAGGGAAGATGGCACAGCAAACGATGGGACAGGTCGGCGCAATCAAGCATAAACGTATCGAAAAGCAGCCCTCTAGGCGCGAACGAGAAGACATGAAGACCCAAAAGTCCGCAAATCTATCAAAAAACATCGGTCCGAATGGTAAGTTTCGTAATACACCAGGTGCAGCTGCTACCAATGGCAAAAGCCAGGTTTCAGAAGGACGTGGGTCGAAGACGGCGGCAAATGTAGGAAAAGGCAAAGCAGCTCCTCCAGTACCAGAGAAGAAGATTAAGAAGGCTGCTTTGGCAACAACAGGTTATGCAGGAACGGCCCGTCCCAAGCCAGGTGCGAAGCCAGGTTCAAAACCTACATATGGATCTTCGGCTCGTGAGCGTGAACGTGATCGTTATGGTCGCAGACCGCCTGCTTTGGGCTCCCGAGAAGACCGATACGAAAGTTATGATGAGGATGACGATATGGAGGAAGATGATCAACCTGATTATGAGTCGGACGTATCCTCGGATATGGAAGCCGCGGCCTTTGAAGTCGATGAAGAAGAGGAGATGGCGGCGAAGATTGCGAGAAAGGAAGATCAGCTTGCCCTGGAAGAAGAGAATCGACTGAAGCGTGAGAAGCTTGAGAAGAAGAAAAAGTTGATGGCCATGGCGAAGAAGGCGGAAGGGAAGAAACGGTATTGATTCATGATGGTTGGTCGACCTTCCTTCGTAACAATCTACGTTATGTTTCCGAGAGTACCTAGGCATTTAAGGTGATCACGGGTGGACGGACAATAAGTGGATCAAGTGCATTTAGTTACTTGATGGTCGTGGGGATACAGTAAAGCAGGGGTTGGGAACTGGAGGCATTATTACCTTGACAATTTGTGATTTTAGCGATACGGAGTTCAGGGATTGACGTGTGTTGTGTCTTTTTTTCTTTGAACCACTCACCGGAGGAGCGAAGCATTTTGATTGGCGTCGGCCTGGGATAGTTTAGTAGACTTGGAGGGGAGGTGGAGGCGGTTGGGCGGACGGGAGCAAGAGAACTAAATACCACACCCTACCCTACCCTTCCTTTTTTTGAGGGAGGGGTGCAGGGGGGAGGGGGTTAATTGTAACTCGATTGGAGATAATACATTAAATCAAGTCTATAATCAGGAATTCTCTTTTTCTTTCTTTCTTGGCTCTTGGTCCTTGCTTTCTCTTGGTTTTTATTATGGCCTGTTTAGTCAGGCAATGTAGTAGTATGGCTTTCTATATATACCTAAGTGGGTGCCTAGAAAGGAGAGTAGAGGAGAGCGAAGCGAAGTTGAAAAACAAAGGAAAGAAAAGTCAAAATAATCCACTCGAGTAGTTAACAGATTGGACGGAGGAAATAGTATATCTATGCCGCTAAAGTTAAAGTACTATCCTTCCTCGCAAAAGTACCATATGCATCCTTCCCAATCTCAAAAAACACAACACCAAGTCCCACCCATCCTCCCAATTCATGTAGGGTGAAGTAATCTACTGTACGGGTCATTTCCCACCTTCCTCCCAAAAGAAACACCGCGACCAAAAAACCTCAAAACCAAAAGCAACACCAAAACTGCAGTAACACCAAACCCCTCCATCATCCCAAATCAATAAATCCACGGGTATCGTATCCCCTAAAAAAAAGCACCAACACCAACCCCCCAGCTACCCTCCCCCCCCCGCGC